ACTTTTGAATTTTTTCGATAATGTTAAGTAACACCTGAAAATCAAATAGGGATTTTATCAACTAGTATTTCTGTTTATCTGATGTTTGTATTCTAAAACTTTACAGATGAATAAGGATGGCAGATTTCAAAGAAAAAACTCGATACGTTTTTTTTTCTGGTCTAAGATGAGTATGTCGTAGCTGCTTTTCAATATTTACATTTTAAAGAGCACAAAATAGTGAACAAAATGAGGGTTCATTGCGTTTTTCATGACTTTTCTGAAAAATGCATAAGTATCATAAACTACGACAAAAGGTGTTCTCGAGGCGAATTTCGATGGTTTTTGAGAGTTTTCTGATACTTTTATCGAAAGATTGTAGAAAATTCAATGAGTTTTTATTTTATTCTTAACTTTGTACTCTTTAAAATTTTATTCTTCACAAATAGCTGCATTAAAGTTTTTTGGTACCTAAAAGTTGCCGTGTCGGAGTTTTTTGAAACTTTTCGATTCTAATTCATCTATTAAATTTTAGAATAGAATAAATTAAATAAAAAAAACATTAGCTATTGAAATCATTATCCGAATTCAGCTAATAGCTTGACATTGTCGAAAAAAAAGTTAAAAATACGGTAATGTTAAAGTATTGTTCATCGTCTTAGATATTAAGTCGTCTAACATTTTTATATCTGTGCTTTCTTGGATAATGCATTTTTATTCGGCTATTTGTTTTCTAATCTTTTTATTTTATCTCTCTTCTATCACTTGTCATTGTTTTAAAAATCTTCAATGTATATGAAAACATGTACAATTTTATCCAATCAATATATTCGTGAATTTCGAAAAATTACGTATCACTAATTCAAAATATCTGAGAAGAAAAGGGCTGATGAAGAAACGTAATTTCATGTATGTTGTACAATTCTTTAGTTGTCTTTTCGAATGACACAATTTTTCATCAAATTGTTCAGAATTGCATCCTCTACAAATTCTTCTACAGAATTTTTTCAATCTAATATCAAGTTTGCTTGAAAAATGATCTACCTTGACAATTCGCACATTATAGTCATTTTAGCATAACTTTCAGAATCGTCCTACTATGTCTACCTTATATTCATAGTAGTCCCATTGGGATTATTATGAAGAAAATGTCTTTTTGTTGCTAATTACCCATGATGTATTAGTTTACTGTTACGCCAAAATAGAAGATATAGATGCATTGATCTTACCAATTGTAGAATAAAAGACGCTCTATCTAGGGGTAAAATAACTATTAATTCATTATTTTCCTATGATAATTAAAGGAATTTGGAGTAAATTTAAATTTTTTCTGTCACTTTGGCGAAGTGTTCATAATAATCTGTTATGGAGCTATTCCGAACAAACAGTAGAATTTCTAGCACTATAGATGATAAAGACTTTTCTACAAATATTTATTAGATAAACATATAGAAAATACTTTAGTTTATTTTTTAGTGTCTTTTTTGTTCAAAATCACAAAAAATAAAAAAACTATGAAGCTTCAAAAGGCATTTTTGAAAAAGTATTCAGAATAGTCCCTATCTACTCCGCAATTTTATCTGCAAAGATAAAACTCAATTCAAATTCAATTAATTTGAATAAGTGGCGTTCGTTTCGTAACTTTGAGTTGCATCTTCAAACAGGAAAAGGATGGAACTTAATTCAAATACAACTTAGGGAATAAACTCAATAACAATAAAATTAGTCATACGAATAGAACGAAACATATTTTACAATAGTAAAGACCTCTATATAAGTGTGATAGTTAAAATTTCACATTTATATAGAGGTCTTTACTATTGTAGAATATGTTTCGTTCTATTCGTATGACTAATTTTATTGTTATTTAGTTTATTCTCTAACTTGTATTTGATTTGAAATGAATTTTACTCTGCTATTAATACTATGTTATTTATTCTAAAACTGCTAATAATAAATTAAAGCAATTATCTTTGTCTTGCATGCATTCCATTCACTTCGTATTTCATAAAATCCATTGTAAAAATATACAATTACCACTGCTTGTGCATCATATGTAAAATCAGATGACATTAAAAACTTTTGTAAATATGTTTTTGTCGTTTAAAAAGATGAAATGTGACTAGTTTAAATAAAACAACTAGGACCTTGATAGTGAACTCGACTATGTACATTTCGTTCAAAAACACTGCTGAAAATTTCTATAGAATCCATTTTTTTTTTTGAGTAGTTATCTATAGCATCACGACGAAAAATATTAATTTAATCGAAAAATCATTTAAAACTTGATAAAAGGAAGTATTAATTCATTTGAATTATTGTTTTTGATGAAAATCTGACGACATATGTTCTATTTTTGCGTGGAACATACATTAAATGGAGTACATTAACTTTAAAAATACTTTTTATTGAAAGGCAAAGTTAAAGTGTTTACTTTAACTTTAACATGAAATTCAAAGATAAAGCTAAAGCAAAAATAAGTTTTTTTTATTTTTTCATAGTCCATTATATAAATGTGTTTAAACTAACGAAGACCCATATAATCATGAAACGCAGTTTAGATGCTTCTATGCGCATTATTGTTGCAAATGATGATGTTTAAATGCAACTCATTTTGAAATAGAATTCATACACGTTGAAATGCGTTTATTATAATTTTTTTTCTAAATGAATTTTATACTTTTTGCGTATATTCAAACGATTTTCGTGCATAAAACGCATTCAGACAAGTACAAACTAACTATGAAACACATTTAAAGGCAAATGTTTTCGTTTTTCTTTTGCAACTGATTGCATTTATAACTGCAAGTAATCTTACATTGATAGTGATGGAATATTCTTTATCAAAGACATGCAATCATATGCATTTGTCGTATACGTCATCTGGTGCTCTTGTCTCCCAGTTACGCGTTGGAACACAGACCGTTACGTCTCGTGACATGAATAAGATACATGTTGAACGTGTTGTTCGCTTCAAACACATCCATTCTCATCAGGGCCACAAGTTACTCGACCAAGGTACCATAATTTTTATTGATTTTTGCGTGTAATATGTACGATCATTTTAGAGTAAACATCCAATGATATCATTTTTAGTATCGTTTTTTTTTTGGAATCCTACATAGATACAAATTTTCGAAACCTGAATTCGGTCTATTTTATCTGACATTTGACAGCTTTTTTCAGTTATAGTACCTTTTGAAACCTTTATTACGTGTTCAAAAATATTCAACATAAACTGCATAAGAATATCGAGTAAATGAAGTAATTTATTACTTCGTTGTTATTTTTCGATTCTGATTATTACAAGAGGACACTGATACAAAATTTGTTTATCATATGAATCTGCTTAAAGTGACTACATTTTTTTTTGGTCAATGGTGCTTCTTAGAGTAGGTACAACCTGACCGTCTGAAATTTTTAACAAAATTTTCGCAGTTTTTCATAGAAACACATGGGAATCGCTAGCAATTCCATCGAACGTTGTCCGATCAGATTGAAATTATTATCATACATAATTGGAGATATTCTTAAAAAGTGAGATCAGATGTTTTCATTTTTTATCTGTCTATTCAGATTTATTGAGTTCTGAACACCAACAATCCAATTTTGGTTTCGAATCTATGCATATTCCTCCTATCATAAAAAACATAAGAAAACTATTTAAAAAGCTTAAAACCACCTTTAATATTTTATCGAAAGTATTTCAAAAGAAAATTTTTAGTCCAAGCAGACAACCTTAGATACAATTATCAGTGGACCTAATGTAGTTCTATGAAAAATCAGGTTTTTATCTGAAAACAAACTTCTTTAATTTTTTTTTCTCAAAGACATATCTTCTTATTGTAAATAGTCTATCCATGGTAAAACTCTCATCTGAATCCATTATACTCTCTTCGGTAACCAAAAAAGACAAGAAATTTCTTATGTGACCAAATTTTTTGAATAAATTATTTAAGATACATAAAAGTACATAGTATCATCTTAACTTTTGGCTTTCAGTAAAGACATAAAACATATTGTTGATAAGCGGTACGCTGTTTTCATTAAATGCTTTCCTATGAAATAAAATTAGTTATTTTCAAGTTAGTTTTTTTTCCATTTAGCATACTGGTGAACGATAAGCACGTAGAAAGTGCAGTAGGAGAATATTGAACACCGACAAGTTAAACACGCAAAAAAATTAACGTAAATCTGAAGTCTATTGAAAGATTAATATAAATTTATAAGTCTAAGATGTGGATGTGACTTTAAATCAAGAAAAACCCTTCGCCCACATTCACACTTTCAAAATATACATTAAATTAATCTTTAAATAGACTTCATATTTACCTTAATATTTTGCGTGCTTATTGTTCCAGTGTTGATCATTCTCGTAATTAGCCGTTCCGGGCGCTTAAAATATATAAAATAATAGGTACATTTAATTATATTTGATCAATTTTTTTTGTTATTATCAATATGCTTTAAAAAATGTCATCACAAACACAAGTGGACCTCGAGTGACTGAACAGATACAAAAGCAAAGATATTAGCATTAATTTTAAGTTTTGTAGGAATAATTTTAATACTCATCAAGTAGCTTATTTTGTTTTGATGTATGCTTTCAAGTTTATTGTTTTTTTCACATCACCATCATAAATAAGTAAATGATTTTCTTGATTCTCTTCATTTGCCATATTTATATTCAAAAAAAAAATACCGAAGCAAGGAAGAAAAAGAAAGATCTCGAAAAAAATATATACACATCCGGTTCGCATGTTTTTCATCAACTCGTCACATTCTCTTGCTTTTTTTTTCTAATTTTTATTTCCGTCTACATAAAGAAGAAAAAAAAGAAATTGAGATAGCAACATAAACTTTTTCCTTTCTTTTACTAACAATCGGTTGTTTTGACAACTTGTCATTTTCTTTTCCTACGCGAAGAATAATTCTTGTTATCAAGTAAAAATTAATTATACGATTCGTTAATTTTATTTAATTATTCATTTTTGTCTTATACTATAGTCCAAAAAGAATCAATGGAACCATCACCAACACCACAAATTATTGAGACAAATGATGAACCGATTAAAATACATATTTATGATGATAATGGATATTTACCTATTCATCGAGCAGCTTTTAATGGACATGAAGTAACAATTAAAAATATCTTAGATGAAGCTCAAAGACGAAATGAACTTACACAACAACTTGAAGCAAGAACACATGATATTAATGAATTAACACCATTACTTTTAGCTACTGCAACTGGACGATTAGATATAATTGCTTATTTTTTAACATATCCGGTAGATTTTAATGCAGTTGATGCTAATGGACACGGTAATTATCAAAGATTTTTAAAAAAATATGAAAATTTAATTTGTCTTCATAATTAAATAGTTCTATTCTACTCTGTAGTTAACTTAAAACTATAACATTTATATTTATAAATATTCGTAAGCAGGATAACTATGAAAAAGAATTCGATCTATAAGTAGAGGTATGTAAAGTAGAATAATATAATAAAGAATATCCGTACAGATATGTTATTATGTTTTTCATTGAATACTTTTACAGGGTTATAGAAGAATGTTCATGTTCAGCGACATCTTTCACGCATGATTAAGTTTTTCGCCACAGAATAAAAGATCATGGCTTGCTATTATGAAAATTCATAGCGCTCTTCGGAAGATGAATTTCTATTGCGGACTAGTTTTTTTATTTATTAACATTTACTTAAAAAACAGAGAATTTTTGAAAAACTTTTCTATTATTCAAAGTACTGTCAAACAAAGGATCTTATGAGTAAAAAATTAATTTTAATTTCAAAAATTTTTTTTATTCAAAGACCAAGTCTTTAGGTACTAAAACTTCACAAATTCCTCTGGATTTTCAAAAAACACTTTTTAAAAATTCATTGCTTTCTATCATGACTTGTGAACATTTTTCTAATAAATAGCAGATTATTCTAATGAATCGATAAAAGTTAGGCATTACACTATATAATACAATTCTCTTGTTTATCATCTTTTCTTTTAGTAATTTTACATAAATTATTATTGTGAATTCATAATAGATATTTTATTTATTCAAAAATATGTCAAATAAATTATTAAAAAACATATTCGAAGAAAAAAAAAGGAAATTTTGTTGTCTATTACCATCAAAATCTTTAATAGGAAAATTTAGATTGAATTTATTTCGAATAGAACAAATTGAATAGTGTATATAAATCATTTTTGTAATGAATAATTTGTCAACAAATATTATCGCATGAACTGAAAAATGAAACAAATTCACTTAATTTTCATTTTATATAAGCAATGCAAAGATATTTGAAATTAACGACATGATAAATTTCTTTTCAGTCGAACATTAAATCTAGCTGAGGGTTCTTTGTGTTTGAAAGTGGATATGCTGATGGCTAAAATAGGTAAATACAGTTAAAATTTTTACTTTCGATTTATTATAATAAAATTTCAAAACAAAGCTACGGTTACAATTTTTTTAATAGCTTAGTTTTTCCGAATTATTCATCGAATAATTTGCGATATCGTCAATTGCAAAGTTCGAATCAAAATTACTCACGAATAGAATTTTTCAAACTTTACACATCATCCCTTGGTCATTGAGTTTTGGTTATGTGCCTTTTCTTGATGGTATAACTTTTTTGTTGGAATATTATTTTACTGAAAATTGTAAATTAAAAATAAATATTCTTGCACAGCTAAGAAATTAATCTTGATATGTTTTCGAAAACTTTTGCATCATTTATTATTTACCAAAAGCGAGCTGTTTAAATAGATCATTTTCTATCAAATGAACTGTTAAAATAGATCAATTGATACATATTGAACATTTGTAAATCACGTAATATTTATAGACACATACGTAAAGAAACATAATATCTGATTTCAATTTATATCGGAAGTTCTCCAACTGATAAATGACATTTGTGTCGAAACTATGTGAATCATATAGACTTCAATGAACTATGAATGCCTTGAAAGAAGTTCAGAGCGCCTTATCTTATTGCTAAGAATGTGTTGTATTCTTATAATATTATTTAAATGAATGCCTTAGAAACACCAGAAGAATTGATTTTCGAATTTCGACTTGACGAGAGTAATTTTAAGTCTTTCGATTTACTTTTATCCTGAAATAGGGACATCGAATTTGTTGGTTTGTATGAATGATGTACAAGACATGCTATTACCATAATTCTATCTTATGATAGAGGAACAGTGATAAGATCTACATCATTTAAAAAAACAACTATTCTCGTTAAGATCTGTTTGTATGTGAAGTTTTAAGTCGAAATTCGCTTGATGTTCCTAATGCTAGCCACAGCATTTATTGAAAGTATACTATAAAAGTACAAAATTTTACCACCCATAAGTTCAGAGTTTGAATTCTTGTCATGGTATTCATGGTTCATTTTGGTCTACATAATGCATATAGTCTCGATTCACAAATGATTTATTAGTTTGATGACTTCCTTTGTTAGAACAGCATCAATTGACTTGAGAAACATATTTTTATATTATTGTTTAAAACCGCACAAATCATCATAATTGATTAAGAACAATTAGATATTTATTTCGATTAATTTTTCTAATAAAAACAAAAAAATTTTGAATACAATTTATTATTTGTATTTCATCGTCGATAGATCGATTTTTGTAAAACATAACTGTTAATGGAGTATTCAAGTATAGTGTTAGAAAGTTATGTCTCGACTCTACACAGATTATGACAAGCACATCGATATATTCACTTAGATTTTTAGATAATGAAATTCATATTTCAAAATGATCAATTCGATCATTCAAAATTCCTTGAAAAAAAAACTGTTCACATGTCTATCAAAATCTTGAACAATTAAACGATGTAATAGACAAATCAAGATACTATGCCGTTGACATAGATGTTAATCATAACATAAGAAAAAAGATGATCATTATATACAATTGGAACTATTTTATAGAGAAATTCAACTGAAACCTTTATATTCTATTTTAAAGAATGTAACTGCAAAGAAAATGTTTTCATTTAGTAAGACAAATAATTTATAACAAGAAAGATTATTCTGTCGTTGAAGTACTCGACTTATTTCAATGACAAGTGAGCATAATCAGTCAGAATCACATCATATGCATCTTATAAAATAAATAAATGTTTAATAGATGTAATAGTTTTCTTTTTGCTCTCATAGCTAACAAAATTTAATCATAAAATAAATATCTTGATGTTCAAATAGACTTGATTTCTAACGCGAATATTTATTAATACAAAGAATAAGACAAGTTTATATTTTTTTTCAAAAAAAAAAGGTATGGCTGCAATAGCTGCTCTATCACAAAATGAACGTACACTTCGTTACATAATTGATCTACCTATATCATCAACTGAATATAATGTTTGGAAGCCTTTATTTAAATTATTTTTATCTGTAAAAGATGATGAAAGTACAATAGGTGGTCGTATACTTGAATTATTAACACGTCATGAATCAGATAATTCTCAAAAAAATTCATATTGGTTACCAATGATTGAAAATGGTCTATTATCAACATTAATACAAATATTTAGTTTATCAAAAAATGATGATGTACTTACAAGTGCATTTATATTATTTCTAAATGTTTTAAATGAAGTACCACAAATAAAAAATGATTTAGATAATATAAAAAATTGTTTTAGTTCAATGTTAAAACATACACGTTCAACAAATACTCAAATTCTTACATTATTAGGACGAGTATTATCGTGTCTTAGTACAGAGAAAACATTAATTGATTCCATGGTTGAACAAGGACTTATTGAAACATTAATGATACTTATTGATAAACAACGTACACCACAAATTATTTATCCATATTTTGATTGTTTAGCAAATGTTATTGGAAAATCTTTTGAATATCAACGAAAATTTATTTATTCAAAAAATTTTCTTTTATTAATTGTACGTACTTATTTACAAGATTATGATTTAAATTTATCATTATCTGTTATACGTTTTATACGTCAATTAGTTAAAAATAATGAAGAACTTCAAAATATTCTTGCACATTATGGTGCATGTGAACATTTACTTGGTGCATTATCAACATCATCAAAAGAATTACAACAAGTATCTATTGAAGCTATACAAGCATTAAGTCATAAAAATCAAAAAGTTCAAGAAATTTTATTACGTGAAAATGCTCTTGAACAATTATTAAATTTATTAGAAAAAACAAATATGTCAACATTACAAGTAGCTATTGTTTGTACATTATGGACATTATGTTCAAATAATTCATTACAAAAACGTGATGTAGCAACAAAAATTGGTATTAGAAAATTAATTAGTTTTTATACAATTAAATCTGATGAACATTTATTAGTTGTAACAGATGCCATTAATGAATTAGCTAAATGTACAGCAAGTATTAATATGAATATTCAAGAAGAAATAAATCATGCACAAGGTATACCATATGTTATTCGTCTACTTAAATCTGATAATGAAATGCTTGTTTTAAGTGTTTTAAAAAATTTACAATTAATAACATGTGCTCCTGGTTTTGTTGCTAATAGAAAAAATCAAGAAATTATACTTAAAAATGATGGTATTAAATTACTTGTGGCTTTAATGATGCATGCTAAAAGTGAAATAATTCAAGTTGAATCAGCCCAATCTTTAGCTTGTATTGCATTGAGTATGTATGATTATGTATATCATATGAAATGTCATCATTTTAGTTTTTTTTTTTTTTAATAGATAATAATCAATGTTCAACATTAATTGAAAATACCTTAGATTTTTCTTATTCACATCTAATTGATTTAATGCATTCAAATGATATAAATGTACAATTAAAAGCATCAAATGCTTTAGCTACATTTGTATATAATAATTCACGTATACAATTATTTCTTAAAAAACAATATAAATTTTCATTTGATTATTTTCAAAAATTTCTTCATAATAATAATGAATCTATAAGATGTATAGCTGCATTTCAAGTTTGTTTATTAATAGATAAATTATTAATTTTTTAATCAATATTAAATTAAAAAAAATATTATTTAGATTGTTGTTTTTTGTGGTTTAATAAATGAACAAAAACAATCAGTTAATACAGCTATTGGATGTGGAATTCTTATGGATATACTTCGAACATCTCAAATAGATGATGCGAAATCAGCAACTGCAGAATGTGTTGCTCGACTTGCACATATGAAATCAGGTAAATCATCAAAATAAAAAAAAATTAGATTATTTTTAAAAAAAAAATTATTTGATTATAGCATCAGATGTGCATAAGCACACAGGTAAATTTGTTAGCATCTTCTCCTTTTGGTATTATATTACCATTCTTAGTTACCCTTATACTTCTTCTTCTTCGTA